GACCTTATAAAGTAAACTTTGTTAGTATTTCCATCATCGCAGCTGTGTTGAAACTCAGGCTTTCCTTCTAGCTGCTGCCATCAAGCTTTGCTCTCAGCATTCTGTTTGCAAGGAGGCTATCATCCATTCGTTATCAACGGCCCATCCATCTTGAACGTCTTGTTTGCCGCTACTCGGTCACTTTAAGCAGGTTATTGTAATATCTCTTACACCACCATTTGAGACGGGATTGCACCCTTTCACTCCTAATATTGTTTTTAAAATCTTCTGCTTCACGATTTCCAGTTCAGTTAAGTGCTGGCATCTCCAAGTCATAGAGCAGGATATTCAGAATTCCAGCTATGGATATCCGTGGCTTGAATCACGTGTTTCTTGCTTGTAATACAAACGCGGAACACGTCTTAACTTCATTCCTGCAACCAATGTACTACCAAGATATTCTGGCCATTTACAACTACTTCAAGATGTAAGGACAGAGCCATTGGCCTCGGTTCTACCAGTTTTCATCACCTCTTCATCTTATTCAGGATAATCGAGAAATTCAGATCAAAATGCCTCTGTATCAAAGTACAGTAGGATATAAAAGATTCGGGTAACGTGGATTCGCCAATGGTATCAAAGTCTGAAATGCGCTCAAAGCTGTAGAAATCATCAATCGAAAGTTATTTATTCAGCTTATGTTCAAATAATAGTAAATTAAGAACACTCTCAAGCAAGAAACAGAAATTGAACGCACATTGTACAATGATACTACGTTCATAAAATAGCCATAGAGAAACAGTTTCCTTTTTCGTACACAACCGCTTTCCCCAGCGAAGATGAAGCTGTAAGTCCGTAACAGCGCAGGTGTCACGATATGTTGCAGTTGCTGTGCTTTGACTTGTCTCCGTGGATATGACTAACGCGGGAGAGGGCGTGACTCTTGAGGCCGGAAGCGTGGCCTCGGTTGTAGTTGCCAGCACCGGAGGAGAACGACCGTCGACAAGAATAGCCGACCGTGAACTGCAGATCGTCTTCGTCTTCACTGCTGCTTGAGGAGGAGCAAGTGCTGCAGTAGCAATCGCGATATTTGGAGAAAATGTCGTCTTGGCTGTCTCTCTCGAGAACCGTTGGTGAAATGTCAAATCGGACCGAACGCGTCGGTTGACCTGTGGTCACTTCCGCTTGGCAACGTTCGACGGAAGCCCGTTCGCAACAAGGGCTTGACGCGGCAAGTGCATTCGTTGTCGAATTTGCGGTCTTGGTCACGAGAGATCCGAGTCCGCAGGCTCTACGGTAAGAGTTTTCACTCTTTGACTTCATCAGGCCGCAAGACTTATTCGTGAGTGACGAGGAACTGCAGGCGCCTGAATTGCCTAAGGCAAGAGCAGCACTCTCGCGTTGGAAACAAGTTCTTCGATTGCTGTTCAATGGCTGGCTAAGATCAGCAGTGGATTGGTCAGCGGGAAGATCGGTGAGGGAATGACAGTCTGAGTTTCGACGCACACTCACGCGCCTCGAGTGGAAGCAGTCACTCAGTGAGGCACGAATGGACTTCTCCTCCTTGGAGCTGCCATTTTCGTCCTCGTCTTTGTTTCGTACGCAGTTGTTCAGACTCGATGCTATGGATTCGTAGATGCGCTCGTTCTCGATCCTGTCATCGTCGCCGTCACTCCAGAACGCCGACGAACACTGGTACTTCAGGCGGTTCCGCAGTCGCTCGATGCGGTCCAGGTACAGCCTGCATTCTCTTGGCGAGTAGGACGGGGAGCCGGCTTTTCGACCGTGCTTCGATCTCCTTGGCGAGGCAGTGCCTGTTTTTGCACAGTCTGAGTACGAAAGGTAGCACTTGTCGTTGCAGAAGACGCCTTCCGCCCGGGACACAAAGGATTTGCCGAGAAGCGGCTTGGAACAGACGCCACACGTGAAGCATTCCTGCTTAGCATGCCATTGCCGGTCTCCACACGTCATGCGAAGGTCTTCGATCGCGATCGGCTGTGAGCAGGTAGTACAGGGCAAGGCGAGTGTCGTTTCGAAGCACTCCAGACAGTAAGGGTGGTGGTCCTTCATCACGTATCGAGTTCCGCCGAGACACTTATCACATTCGAAGCACGCAAAATGACGCAAATGCCAGAATCGGCCCTCGGCTTCGATGCATTCGTCAGCAAAGATTATCTGCAAAAATAAACGCATCATCAACGCGTATGAATAACCTGCTGCACGTTTACACTAGATCAAAGAACGCACTCTTTTATGGTGTAATTCACATGACAACGGAGTGAACTTTGACAACGTAGCGCGGAGCGATGACGTCTAATCTCATAAATGGTCATTATACCAATGCACCATATATCACATTAGGAATGGAAGGAAAGTTTGTAACAGTTGGAATATCAGTCATCCTTACATTATCATCATGGATCAACCTCAGCAAGAAGAAAGACGAGTGGCTCTGATCAAGGCTCGAACCGAGTCCTCTCGGTTCTGATTCCGAAGCTCTACCAACTGACAAATTCAGACATGAAGCAACGTGTGGGAAATTCATTGCTCAAGGTTATCGGTGATTAAGCCAAAGATCGCACAAAGCAAGTATCTAATCCGGTACATGCGGAGTTCGAAACCGAACTCCTACACACTGTGCCTTCATGACAAATTATAAACCTAGAACACAAATCTGCATGCGCAAACGTAGTTTCTAAACGACGATATGTGGAATGCTAATATTGAAATGCTACCGTATAAACATCAAAATATGTTCACAGTAATAGCAATTCAAATAACGCTTAGTTCTTCCAGAATCAGATT